GTGTGAGTGTGTGAGTGTGTGTGAGTGAGTGAGTGTGAGTGTGTGTGAGAGTGTGTGAGTGTGAGTGTGTGTATGTGTGAGTGAGTGAGAGTGTGAGTGAGTGTGTGAGTGTGTGTGTGTGTGAATGAGTGTGTGTGTGTGTATGTGTGAGTGAGAGTGTGTGAGTGAGTGTGTGTGTGAGAGTGTGAGTGATAGTGTGTGAATGAGTGTGTGTGTGTGTATGTGTGAGTGAGAGTGTGTGAGTGAGTGTGTGTGTGTGTGTATGTGTGAGTGAGAGTGTGTGAGTGAGTGTGTGTGTGTGTGTGAGGGTGAGAGTGTGTGTGTGAGTGAGAGTGTGTGAGTGAGTGTGTGTGTGAGAGTGTGAGTGATAGTGTGTGAATGAGTGTGTGTGTGTGTATGTGTGAGTGAGTGTGTGTGTGTGTGTGAGTGTGTGTGTGTGAGAGTGTGTGTGTGAGAGAGTGTGTGAGTGTGAGAGTGTGTGTGTGAGAGTGTGTGTGCGTGAGTGAGAGTGTGTGTGTGAGAGAGTGTGTGAGTGTGAGAGTGTGTGTGTGAGAGTGTGTGTGCGTGAGTGAGAGTGTGTGTGTGAGAGAGTGTGTGAGTGTGAGAGTGTGTGTGTGAGAGTGTGTGTGCGTGAGTGAGAGTGTGTGTGTGAGAGAGTGTGTGAGTGTGAGAGTGTGTGTGTGAGAGTGTGTGTGCGTGAGTGAGAGTGTGTGTGTGAGAGAGTGTGTGAGTGTGAGAGTGTGTGTGTGAGAGTGTGTGTGCGTGAGTGAGAGTGTGTGTGTGAGAGAGTGTGTGAGTGTGAGAGTGTGTGTGTGAGAGTGTGTGTGCGTGAGTGAGAGTGTGTGTGTGAGAGAGTGTGTGAGTGTGAGAGTGTGTGTGTGAGAGTGTGTGTGCGTGAGTGAGAGTGTGTGTGTGAGAGAGTGTGTGAGTGTGAGAGTGTGTGTGTGAGAGTGTGTGTGCGTGAGTGAGAGTGTGTGTGTGAGAGAGTGTGTGAGTGTGAGAGTGTGTGTGTGAGAGTGTGTGTGCGTGAGTGAGAGTGTGTGTGTGAGAGAGTGTGTGAGTGTGAGAGTGTGTGTGTGAGAGTGTGTGTGCGTGAGTGAGAGTGTGTGTGTGAGAGAGTGTGTGAGTGTGAGAGTGTGTGTGTGAGAGTGTGTGTGCGTGAGTGAGAGTGTGTGTGTGAGAGAGTGTGTGAGTGTGAGAGTGTGTGTGTGAGAGTGTGTGTGCGTGAGTGAGAGTGTGTGTGTGAGAGAGTGTGTGAGTGTGAGAGTGTGTGTGTGAGAGTGTGTGTGCGTGAGTGAGAGTGTGTGTGTGAGAGAGTGTGTGAGTGTGAGAGTGTGTGTGTGAGAGTGTGTGTGCGTGAGTGAGAGTGTGTGTGTGAGAGAGTGTGTGAGTGTGAGAGTGTGTGTGTGAGAGTGTGTGTGCGTGAGTGAGAGTGTGTGTGTGAGAGAGTGTGTGAGTGTGAGAGTGTGTGTGTGAGAGTGTGTGTGCGTGAGTGAGAGTGTGTGTGTGAGAGAGTGTGTGAGTGTGAGAGTGTGTGTGTGAGAGTGTGTGTGCGTGAGTGAGAGTGTGTGTGTGAGAGAGTGTGTGAGTGTGAGAGTGTGTGTGTGAGAGTGTGTGTGCGTGAGTGAGAGTGTGTGTGTGAGAGAGTGTGTGAGTGTGAGAGTGTGTGTGTGAGAGTGTGTGTGCGTGAGTGAGAGTGTGTGTGTGAGAGAGTGTGTGAGTGTGAGAGTGTGTGTGTGAGAGTGTGTGTGCGTGAGTGAGAGTGTGTGTGTGAGAGAGTGTGTGAGTGTGAGAGTGTGTGTGTGAGAGTGTGTGTGCGTGAGTGAGAGTGTGTGTGTGAGAGAGTGTGTGAGTGTGAGAGTGTGTGTGTGAGAGTGTGTGTGCGTGAGTGAGAGTGTGTGTGTGAGAGAGTGTGTGAGTGTGAGAGTGTGTGTGTGAGAGTGTGTGTGCGTGAGTGAGAGTGTGTGTGTGAGAGAGTGTGTGAGTGTGAGAGTGTGTGTGTGAGAGTGTGTGTGCGTGAGTGAGAGTGTGTGTGTGAGAGAGTGTGTGAGTGTGAGAGTGTGTGTGTGAGAGTGTGTGTGTGTGTGTGTGTGAGAGAGTGTGTGTGTGTGTGACACAACGTTCATCTTCTGTCTGTTAAAGCGGGTAAACTTCTCCACCCAGATCCCGAGGAGCGCCGGACGAACCTGCTCAACCTGGTTAATTACGGACTGCATTGCATCATTTAATAACGAATGTTCAGAGGTGTTTGGGTTTGACTCGTCTTAATCACATCTGATCCGAATGATGCCATATGAATTAATTATTCTGAATAAAAGAACCCAACCCTGCATTACCGCTCCTGCAGCGCCGACACATTCATCCTCCCACAGATCATCCTAATAACACGGAAATAAAACTCATGTTAGACAGCAGGATCCTGACGGTGGAAAAGCCCAGCGGTGAAATATTCAATTAAACTAAGTCAGATTGTCTGTCACGTTTCCGCCGATCACAGAAACTACTGGCATTAGCCGTTAGCATAAACAACGTTAGAAGAATAACTAGAAACACAGTAAACTCTAAAACGGTTTGTGCTACAAACCAGTGTGCTTTACTTACCAGAATAAATGAACGTGATGAGAAATACCAGTTTGTAATATTAAGTGTTTAACTGATTGTTTTTGAACAGTTAAACAACTTGAAGCGAATGCAGAAACCGCCGCGCTTTCAAATTACAAAATGGCCACGCGCACGTTAAAACTAAAAAGGCGGTAAAATTACTACACACAACAAAGGAACACCAAGCAAGCATGGTCGGTTTTCAAGGGACGTTCAATGTAAATTAATTAAATAATTATGTCAGAAGTAATTTCATAACCAGACATTTTACACGTAGGCCTATACATCACATCGGTTAAGCATAAAAGTTAAAATATAGAAATATTTCAATGAAATTTTGACAAACAAATGTTTGTAACTCCATGCAGATCCAGTAATGCAACCGCAATCAATGCACAACAATCATTAACAGCGCTTACAAAAGGAAATGCAAAGACTACACAATGCAGTTTTAATTGACTTTAATTTTAACATATTGAATAAAGAAAGGCATCTGCATGTTGGTTTTCACTGTGGTTTCCAAAATGCTGAAATTTCATCAGAATTAGGCGGCTGAAATATTGGTATCGTAATAACGCAAAAAAAATGTATGTTTGTCTTTAATCTGACATCAGTCATAGGTTTTTAAATAAAACTAAAAACATGCATAAACTCCACCGGTAAGACTTCAATTAAATAAAAAAACATATTTACAACTAACTCATTCACAGCTACAGCTCAAAACACACACACACACACACAC